AGCTTTGCGCTGCCCATCCGCGGCGCAACTGTCCGCCAAAGCGCATTTGCTTTAACAGGTTATGGGCCCCGACAGCACCATGACCACCAATGAGCTTGACCTCTCTCGCGGCACCCGTCTCCCACTCCTTGCTCTTGATGGCAGCAACTTTACGCTCTGGAAGCCGCAAGTGCTGACCTACATCACTGCCATGGGCAAAGTCCGCCATCTACGCGGAACTGCCAAAGTCCCCACCAAACCTGCCGACCCTGCGCCCAATGCCAACGCTGCGGCAATTGCTGCTCACGAAGCCGAAGTCGAAAAGTACGAGGATGCTTTGGAGGTTTACGAAACCGGCGAGGCCAAAGTCCGGTCTATCCTCTATTCCACGATCCACGAGACTCACAAGGTCTCCATCCTCACCAAATCAACCTCTCACGAGTGCTGGACGACTCTCTGCGAGCAATTCGAGAAGCGAAGCGACATTTTCGCTCAGGCTATCGTTACTCGGATGCATGCGCTCAAATGCGCCGACGGCGAAGATGATCCTCGTCCCCAAGCTCGATGAGCTCAAGCGCCTTCTCCAGGACTATGCCGGCGTCGGGCGGGGTCATGGCAGACACCGAACTCAAGAGCATTGTCATCAACCTGCTCTCACCCGTTTGGGCCTTCACCATCCGCACCCTCCTCACCCAGTACAAAATCCAGGCTACGATCATGGCCACCACCAACCCTTCCTCCAAACCGCCCGAGCTCACCGCTGAAGCGCTCATCGACACCATTCGCGATCTGGCAGACACAACCGGGCGCGATGCGAGACCCAGCGGAGGCAACCTCAGGTGGAGCTGCTCTAGTTGTCGGGAACGCCAAACCAGATGACGTCTGCTCTAATTGCGGGAAGAAGGGGCACTGGAAGCGAGACTGCTGGTCAAAGGGAGGAGGGAAGGAGGGTCAACGTCCTTCGAACTGGAAGGCCATAACGGGCAGAAAGGGGAAAGACAAGAGGGGCAAGGGGAAGGGGGGGAGGAAACGGCAACAACAACAACGGGAATAACAGTGGAGGGGGAGGGAGCGGAACATCAGCTGCAGCTGCCACTTACGCTTTTGCGTGGATGGTCAGCACGAACTTCAAGAAGCTGGAGACATATGGCATCATCGCTCTCAGCTTCACCGCTCTCCTCGACTCTGGAGCCAACAACCACTACTGCCCTTCTCGTGACCGGTTTGTGGAGTTCGAAACGCTCAAGAACCCTAAACCCATCCGTTCTGCCGATAACCGCACCTTCTACGCAACTGGTGTCGGTAATGTCCCCATCTCTGTCATGCATAAGGGGCGGAAGATCGACATCCTCCTCACCAACGTCCTCTACTGTCCGGAGATGCCCGTCATGCTCATCTCTGTCGCTGTACTCGTTAAGGCCAAGTTTTCCGTCCACTTCGAACTTGACGGTGCACATGTTCTGGCACCTGATCGCACCACCATCCTCGTTGTACCCGAACGCAATGGTCTTTATCCTATCACGGAAGTCCATGGGTCAACTACTACCCCTTCGAAACCCTCTCCCGACACCGCTCTCGCAACCATGTCCCTTCACGAATTCCACTGTCGCATGGGCCACGCTGACGTCTGAGGCCTCAAGGCCATGGTCGACCGTCAAATCGTAGATGGCATCGTTCTCACTAAAGACGAGGCTGGCTTCTGCAAGGGATGCGCCCAGGGTCAGCTCAAACACGACCCATTCCCAAAGCAGCGCGCCAGTCCACCAGCCAAACACTTTGGAGAACGAGTTCATAGCGACATTTGGGGACCCTCACGAATCGAGTCGCTTGGGCACAATCGGTACTTTATTGTCTTCGTCGATGACAACTCCGATGAAGTTACCGTTACAGGCCTACGGGAGAAATCGAAAGCCTTTGAGGCATATCGTCATTACGAGGCATGGGCGAAGCAACATCGGGGGGCAACGGCGATCGGGGAATTGCAGATGGACGGAGGGGGGGAATACACAAGCGGAAAGATGGAGACACATTTGAAGGATCAGGGGACGCATCACCGTACCACTGTACACCATTTGTCGGCACAAAATGGCACTGCTGAACGTGTTCTCCAAACTCTCATGGCCCATGCACGCAAGATGCTACATCACGCAAGCTTGCCTCTTTCGCTCTGGCTCGAGGCCGTTGTCCACGCCGCTTGGTTACGTAACCGAACTGAAACGAGAAAGACTCCAGGCTCAACACCACACGAGCGGGCGACCAAAAAGAAGCCCGACTTGTCACAAATCCGATGTTTTGGCGCAAACATCTGGGTCAAGTTGGAGGGCGCATCGAAAATCGACAAACAGTCGAAACCATGTCGGTGGATAGGAATTGACACCCACGCCAAGGGTCACCGAATCTATTGGCCGGATGTCCGTCGCGTTTCCATAGAGCGCAACGTATGGTTTGAGGGGGAGCCTGATGAGACGTATTTTCCCGAAAGCGTCACAATCGAGGGGGAGATGGAGACTAGTTCTGGCGATCGCGACGCTTCGAGCTCAACATCTACTCCGGACCCTTCCCCACCCCCAAAACCGGAACAACCTAAGGTGTCGATACCACCACCGCCTGTCGCTCCAAAACGCCCAATGACACCTCCAAGTCCTATGTCCGACCTCACTGTGTCAGAGACTGGGGACCAACCTCCGCAACCTCCAGAGGAATCTCGCCGTACTCGAAAACCCAGCCGATGGATTCGAGACTTGCAGGAGGGAAGAGGGATCACGGCGTCAAAGGTGCCACCGAGCGTCATGCCGGACAAACTCCCGGAAAAGCTACCAGACGAACCGCAGGCAAAGGCCTCACTCGCTGTCGACGACAACCGCAACTGGCTGGATGGAGCCATTGCTCAGCTTGCGATGCGCGAGATGTTTGCGGGAAATGAACAACCGTTGATCGCCCTTGCCATAATGGATGGGGACTCACCAACGGACCGAGAGGCCATGGAGAGCGAAGAGAGTTCACACTGGAAAGCCGCCAAGTCAGCAGAGGTTGGGAAATTGAAGGACAGGAAGACATGGGTAGTAGTTAAACGCCCATACAACGCCAACGTCCTCCCCAGCTCCTTTGTTCTTCGACGCAAGCGAGACGAGAACAACAATGTACGCGAATATAAAGCGCGACTTGTGGCTGGTGGCGACCATCAGGTCTATCAGGTCGACTACACCGAGACTTCCGCTCCCACTATCACCCTTGCGACATTTCGCTTCCTCCTTGCGCTAGCCGCTCGACATAATCTTGAGGTCGAAAACATCGATTTCTCAAGTGTGTATATCAACGCAGAGCTCAAAGAGACGGTTTACATGCGCCAACCCCGTGGCTTCGAGGAGCCTGGGAAGGAGGACTGGGTGTGCTTATTGCTATGAGCGATCTACGGGTTGAGACAGGCAGGGAGAGAGTGGTACAAGGTGGTATGTGCGCTGATGGAGAGCTTGGGGTTTAAGAAGTGCGACGCTGATCCCGCCGTCTTCTACATCTTTGAGAATGGCATCGGGGTGATAGTTGGCATTCATGTCGACGACTCACTTATCCTCTCTAACTCAGCCAACGCCTGTTCAGCACTCAAACGCGAAATTGCTGGTCGCTACGCCATTACCGATCTCGGTCCCGTTCGGTGGATACTCGGGTTCGAGATTCGACGTCAACGAGATGTTGGGACGATCACCATGTCCCAAGGCGCCTACATCGACACATTGGTCAAGCGATTTCGACTCGAGAAGGCCAACCCACTTTCCATCCCCCTTGACCCACATACCGACCTTCATGATGCCAACGCAATAACCAACAAAATCGAAGTCGTCAACACCATTTGTGCGACTCATTGGCTCGCTTATGTATGCAGCCGTCGGCACTCGACCGGGACATCTCGTTTGCGGTCTCCAAACTGGCTCGATTCATGTCTAATCCAGCACACGTCCACTGGGAGGCAGCAAAGAAGGTCCTGCTCTATCTTATGGGAACTCGTGACTATGTCCTCACATTTGGGCTCAACGACTCGGGTTTCACTGCCTACTCAGATGCTGATCATGCCATGGATAAGACCGACTATCACTCAATATCCGGAAATGTCTTCATGTTCGACGGTACTGCATTCTCCTGGTCCTCTCGAAAGCAATCGCTCGTAGCGCAATCGACAGTCGAAGCCGAATTTATCTCGGCAGCCACAGCAGCAATGGAGGTCGTTTGGCTGCGTGGAGTTATCTCAGCGCTTGGAGATCTGCCCATGGAGCCTGTTATCGTTCATTGCGACAACCAGGGCACCATCTCACTGGCGAATAGCGGCCTCATGAACCCTCGAACTCGTCATATCGCTATGCGCTACCGCTACATCCACGAGGCTATCGAACAAGGCATCATCTCCCTCAAATATGTTCCCACTAACGACCAAATCGCCGACATTCTCACCAAGGCTCTTCCACTCGATAAAGTCAAGCACTTCCGACATCTGCTTGGAGTCCGTAGAGCTTGAGGGGGAGTGTTGGCGCGTGATCGGCCTGGGCGAGATGGGGAGATGAGGAGATGTCGATGGCAGATCCCACATTTGGGATATCGACATTCGCACTGCCAGCGCACGGCTTCGTTCTTCCCTCGACGGACGAACGAAGCGTGTGTATACTTACCTACCTATGTCATTTACCTATGCTCACATTATGCCAGTAATCCATCTATTAGGTACTGAATATATATTGGTTCTTCCCTCGACGGACGAACGAAGCTAATCCATCTATTAGCTTTGCGCTGCCCATCCGCGCGCAACTGTCCGCCAAAGCGCATTTGCTTTAACATGGGCCGTATGGCTCAAGAAAGGTCCTGTTGTTTGTTGACCTCCCCGCAGCGGTCAACGGGATGGCTCATCGGGCAGAGCTCATGGTTCTTAAGGTACACGATGGGGTTAACGAAGAGAGGAATTGTATTGTCGTGTTGCGCGTCAGTATTGGTACGGCAGTAATGGTAGGATGACCAATGAATGTGCCCTTCGTTCGGCAAGTTTGATTTTCGACCCTACAGGCCGCCCCGTCTGTGCAGGGTCCACGACGTGTGGCCAGAGTGCGTACATGCCTCCGCACCGCGCACTGCGGTGGGGGGTTCTGTGCGGACTCGTCCCATCACCAAAGAGATGGTGGTGGTTCGTGATCAACACAGCCCCCCCCGCGCGTCTCATCTTGGAGCGGAATACAGTGCTGGTCCTTCTTGCCGCCTACAGCACCAAAGCAAATGCCGTCGTCGGCACCGAAAGCGGGACTGACCGTATCCCAAATAAGACGCTCAGAGAACAGCTGGAGAAAGACATTGGCGTCACAGAGGGTCCGCAGTGGCATCTGGACGACGGGAGCTTTTTCTGGTACCCAGTATGTGGCCGTTCCTTGGTTTCATTTGCCACTCACTTATGTTCTAAGAATGCTGTCCAGCGTGCGTTTAACGATCACAACCCCCCCTCACTGAACAGTATTATGTTTCCAGAGCTCTTGGAGGCGACCAGTCACGGTGGTGTGGCGCTGTCCCCTTCCTTCGACATTTTTCTGTATCATGGTATTACAATCAAACTTTCCACTTATATCGTTCATCAACTTCAAACCACGAAGCTCAACCAGTTTGTCAAATATTATAAGGTCCACGCCTGAGGGGCGTCAATCGCTGCCTGTGTCCCACGTGGCGCATTTCCCAACCTCATATTTTGCATTTGAACATCTTGGTAAAATGAAAACTCGACGCAGACAACGAAGGGCTGAAGCGATACGGGCGTCTCATGCCAGGTGAGCCAACCATCGTTTCTTTGTCCATCAGACAACACCAGCACTGTGGTTACGGCTCGGAGTAAAACAGATTGCGTCTTCTATTCGCTTTCACTCGGTTCAAGTTGTATTTTTACCGCAGTTTTTCAAAGTGGTGTGCTGCATCATATCCCAGTAGTACCAGTACAAGTTCCAAACGCAACATTCCGCAAGGTGACGACGCCGATAAGTACTTGTCCTTGTGAGATTCAGATCCTGGAAGTCCCTCTGTTGTATTGGAGATGAAGCTGTCGTATGAATAGCTGCAACTCGATAGGTCTGTTTTGGGTTATCGTAGGGATGCACTGAGCCATCCTAAACTTACACTCGGAGTGTAAGCAACGCTCGAGGCAATATTACAGCCATTACTCACCGGGACTGTACTTGGGAAACGCGCTTCTCGTCGAACAGGCGAGCGCCAAACACGAACAGCGCCCAACTCATGGCTGCTTCCATATCCAAAGAGCGTGCTTCATCGACATGCATCTGCCCAACATTGTTGCTCCAAAAGGCGGTCGACTTGCTTTCCGAGTTGAAAGGCGCTAAAAATATAGTCCTGCGATGTCTGCCAACAAACGATGAAGACGATCCCGCTTTCATTGACGACGTCTTGTCGATGCGTACCACCGCTGCATCACTCGACTCTGTTGCTGCCCAATTGCGCCGCAGAGAGACACGACAGTTGAACGTCGGGCGGCGTGCGCTTATCGGTATCTGTCACCATTTGCGCCGTTAGTCCTAGTTCCCAATGACAGGACAACAAATTTACGCATAGACGACGTCCAGTATATAACGACCGACTTTTTGCGAGGTCAAGGCCAAGAACTTGTTTCCACAACCCTCATACCCGCGTCTTTGCGCATCCTTGCATCCTCACTCGTTTAGACAAAAACGATGTCGTCCAGTGCGTGGCACCTCCTCATGTTGCCCACATGAGAGAATTAACACGCCTCATAGACCAGCAGCACCACCAACAACAACAACAATCCCTGCCGCGCGAGATGACGCGCAAATACCTCGACAAAGCCGCCGAGGAAGCGGGCAAGAAGACCGTGGAGTACATCAACGAAAACCGCGATGAACTGGTGGACCAGGCCAAGGAGCAAATTGGCCAGGCCAAGGAACAAGCCCAGGCCGCGATCGACGAGCAAAAACAACAGGCGCAAGACGAAATCGACGCGCGAAAAAAGGAAGCCCAGGAGGAAATAGAGGCCCAAAAAAGACGAGCGCAGGACGAGTTCCAGGCAGCCAAAGACGTAGGTACTGATCTCTGCTCGTTCGTTTGACTTATCATTGCGTCCAGAACTTCTTCAGCAATCTTTTCAAATGTTGCTCGTAGATATTGCGCCGTGTATTTCAGCTGTGTAAAATAGTCGCAAGAGTAATAATGTATTTGAGTGTTTAATTAACTGGGGCTTCTGCGAGAATGCATCATGAGCTATATGACGATAAAGAGAGAAATTCGGGAAGGGCTTACTGGGTGGAAGGAGTGATGCGAGTTGTTCCGCTACTTCATTCTCCGTTTCGAGTACTTCAAGCGGCCACTGAGGCATGATTGAGTTCGTGTCAAACATTTTCCAGTTGGGCGATGGGGTTGGCTTGATATGGGAGAAGTCTTGAACCGCAAGAACGCCAGGCTGGGATCCAGATTGGTGAATGATGTAACACTTAGCACCAACTTAACCTTATCTTGTCCTCCAAGTGTCGCAGGGTAGCTTGAAAACCGAAGTTCTGAGCAGTGTTCGATGATGGGATTGGATGAAATGGAGAGATGTATGTCGACGAGACTAGAAGTGTGCATTCGGAACTGTGGCCGAAGTGAGATAAGCGCGACTGTTTGAGGGAGAATCAAATACCTGGTGACACCCAACAACGACAATACAACGACGAAGGTCGTGCAGCAGAACACTGCCGGCAATCTCCGGAAGGAGCAGAACCGTGTCGACCAAATTACGCATATGCAACGCGGAGAGTTTGAGAGGAATTGAAAGAAGGTTCACGATGCACTGATTCAGGTCCGATATGGCGAGGTCGGATGTTTGCGCGTTGTCAATGGGTAGCGAAGTATGCGAAATATATCGGCGGGTGTAAGAAGACAAGGTCAAATTGGTTGTCGCAGGTTCGGGTGGGGGTAGGGAAGGCGTCGGGGCTGATTGGGCTACCGATGTCGAGGACGTTACTGGCGCTTTTCGTTTGAAGGAGAATTTGCTCTTTGGGACCGATCCGCGGAGATCTTCGAGAGACTTTTCCAAAGATTTCACCTGCTACTTGAAGCCATCTCAATGTCTTGTGTGAAGAATGCTTGACGACATACCAGTTCATATTGCCGCTGCGCATAGTTTGGAAGCGACCCCGTCGCATCTGCCAGCTGTTTGGCAAGTTTGGCAAGGTCGAGACTCAATTCGGAGAGACCATCCGTAGTGAGATTGCTTTTTGCCTCGTCCACACGCTGTGTGAGCTCTGCTGTGAGTTCAAGCTATGATGTATCAAGGAAAGAATGTACAGACGAGTGTGAGCTGTTTGGAATTGGATTTGAAACTCTTGCGAGAATGACCAAGTGGTTTCCGCCATCGAACGACACGGTGATCACGGTGTGACACTATGTGACTCGTGTGCTTCTTGCCAGATAGGCACTGGTGCTGTACGAGTCACGGCCCATTGATGGGCCGGCCCCAAAACGGCCCAGTGACAAAAAAGTTGCCTTCGGGCAAAATCCAATGCGCCCTCAGGGACGAAATATCGTGCCCGAGGGCAATATTTTATGCTCCCTCAGGCATTTAATTTCATGCCTGGAGGCACAATTTCTGTTCCCTCAGGTGCAAGTGCATCGAACCTACAGTACATTATGTTTTGCCCCTTCAGTGTAAGTTCTGGTCACTGTAGGACAGCTCATTCTTGTTCCTGCAGTGAGTTTTGTTCTTTCCCTTCAGTAGCAAATAAAAATGCCCTCAGGCCTATCATTACTTGAAGAAACTGAGATGAATTCAAGTTACTTGTAATATAAAAAAAAGCTACAGTTCAAAATCCTGAAGCAAAGCACTATAGGCAAGTCACCAAATAACAGAGAAACAGCATTAAAACCAACAAGAGCAAGATGCTATAGGATAGGTATAAATGGTTTGTACTTTGGCCCTACTGATGTATATGATGATCTAAGAAATCCAAGCTGTAATTAATTGAGGACATTTTTAACCAGTCTGATACAACTGAATGAATTATCCCTTCATGAGATACATTGTGTTATGAGCAGAGAGTGGCTTAAATGAGTTGAAATGACATGTTATTTAAATTGCCTTTTTTGGAACACATCACCATCCCCAGAGGTACTTATACGATGAAAATGCCTATAGTCAAGTTTTTTTATCCTTCAGGCACAATTATAAGTCCCTTCAGGTATAAATTGCAAGATGCCTTCAGGCAAGAATGAATGATGCCTATAGGCATGAATATTAGCCTGTTTGTGCAGAGCCACCAGAGGCCACCTGGTGGCATTTTGGCTGTGTGCTGCCTGGTGGCTCTGGTAGCTTAGACTAAATTGAAGTCATGCTACCATAAGATATTATAATCATCACATCATTCTCTTCTACTAACTATCAACAGTAATCCAGATATGCTCACAGAAACGTACAGAAGGTATTATAACCCCCACTCCACCTTACACGCTATTGACAGAGTCTGTAAGCGTAGTATGAGTTACTCCATAGCTATAGCAGGCAAGATGGAATATAATATAAGACTTGTCAGAGCCACCACAGCTGTAAGGGGGACATGTGATGTGACAGCTGTGACTGATCGCGTGACTGGTCCGTGCGCAGATAGCCCTGTACTTAAGTAGTTGGCCGTGGGGCTGTTCCCCCGGCTTTGGTATCAACTAGGCACCTGGACCCTCATCCCCTGACAACAGCCACCAGAGCCACATGGCAGCACACAGCGAAAATGTCACCAGGTGGCCTCTGGTGGCTCTGCACAAACTCTCTATTGAGACCTCAGGTGCAAATTTAAGTGCCTTCAGGTACGAATATAGGCACCTTCAGTCACAAATCAAATGTCCCTTCAGGCAAAATCAAAAAAGGGGGCCGTTTTGGGGCCATTCGCCCGATTTGGACGGCCGTTTGTACAGCACTGGGTTTGGTCTCCTTCTTGCCAGTGTGCCTTTATGTATGTAGCGGAAAGTATTGCACACAGCCAAAATAATGTCTTCCACGGTTCTCGGCTTACGGCGTCGATACCAGCGGCTGCTAGCTTCTGATGGGCCAATCTTCCCAATTTACACTCACCGGTTTCTCGACTGTATGGCGAATCTCTCGTTACTCGTATTGAAAGGTCTTGCGACTCCTCGGCATCACGTCTGGACTTCTATCTTCGTATGGATTCAGCCAGTTCTCGGTCTCCATTCTCCATAGTCCTAGTGCCACCTCCCAGGCCTGTCAATGCAAGCAAAGCTGAGCTTAAAGGCCTAGCTCAGTGGTTTGCTCAGGATCCGACGCTATGTTTTTTCGCTCCTGCCTTCTCCTCAAGATGTCTCTTTTTGCAGCGCAATCAGTGGCGGCACTGCTCCCCGCCGTCAACCAACTTGCTGCTCGTACAGCCGCTCTCGCGGCCTGCGCGGAGCTGACCACCCTCTTGGGGCCATCTATCGTCAAGTCGTCTGGGGCGGAGTACGAGCACGCTGCTACAAATGCCTGGAATCTCGAGAACTCGGAATACTCGCCAACTTGTATCGTCTTTCCCAACACCACCACACACGTCCAGGTGGCAATGACCGCCATATACCACGCTGAATCAGATTTTGCCGTTCAAGCTGGCTCTCATAGCGCGATGAAGGGGTGGAACACGTAGGTGTCGTAATATAGTGACCGTCTGTCGCATATCTCACTCCCTCCCAGTGTTCAGGATGGCGTTCTGATTATTTTTTCGAGCATGCAAAATGTTGCCTACGATGTGGCTCAAGATACCATAATTTTAGAGCCGGGAGTTCACTGGCACGATGCCTATGCCTCCCTAGAGCCACATGGAGTTGCTCCCCTCGGAGGTTTGTCGTCACGGACGGTACAATCTATTCATTCTAACTCCTTGTACTCATAGGTCGTGCGGGGTCAGTTTTTTTTACGATTTGGAGTCCTATTCTCAAAAATCAACCAGAGATATCGGCATGGGGCTGCTTTTAGGTGGCGGTCTTTCATGGCTCAGTCCTTCTCACGGTTACGCCGCCGACATGCTCAAATCCGTCGACGTCGTTCTTGCCAACGGCTCACTTGTAACAGCAACCGCTGGTAACGAGCATTCAGATCTGTTCCGAGCCCTCAAGGGAGGCGGGAACCGCTTTGGAATCGCCACTCGTTACGAGCTGTATCCAGTACACACCGGCACCCAAGAAAACAAGACCTATTTCGGAGGAACCATCCTGTTTGACTCGAATGCAGAGGCTCTACTCAACGCGACAGCAAAATATGTCCGCGAAGTCAATGATCCTAATGCAGGCGAGTGTTTAATACGCCTTTCATTCCTGCGCTAATGTTTCGTCTAGTTATTCTAATGTCTTTTATCAATGCAGTCGCCGGCAACAACATCTCCCCTCTCTATTTCCTTTGGGCGTTTTACAAAGGTTCTGAACTGCCCACAGAAATCTTCGGAGACTTCCTAGCCATACCGTCAGTCTTCTCCCAACTCGGACAATTGAGCTACTTTGAACTTCAAGAAACACTCGGATTGGCGAATGAACGTGGCCAGATACAACATTTTGGCGCTTCGGCTCTAGTCGGGGATGAAACGTTGTACCTGAATGCATTCAATCTCTGGAACAATTTTACCACGGCACACAAAGAATTTTTCAATATGACAACTTTGGCATTTACGCCTATTCCTGAATCCCAGATCCAAGCGGGGCTCGCTAGAGGCGGCAACATCATCCATGCACCTCATGGTCAATTTGCTGCCGTCCAAATATACGAGGCGTTCAACTCTGGCATCACCGAAATCCCCTTGAGCGTCCAAACGGCCATCGGGCAGCTGATTGAGGGGTCTGTAATCCTTTTCTTGGACCCTCAGACGTCACTCACGATCGACGTTTTCAGAATACCTCCGTCCCCTGGTTTGCCTCTTTGTGACCGCATATCTTGTCCGATAGAAAGATAAGGCTGATCATCGTCCAGATCTCAACGAATGCGACCCAGACCAGCATGTCTTCGAGAGCTACGGTGACTACGAAATGCTGAAAGACATCTATGCCAAGTACGACCCGATCAGGTCAGCGTGATGCCGTGGTCCGCACATGACAGGCTCAACTGAATTCATCACGCTTTTTATAGATTTAACGTTCGGCATTGCCAAGGTCCTGTTGGCCTGTAGCTCGCGTGGTTTTGAGACTTGGGTATGCTGGTTGACTCGGCTTCGAATATTTTCGTATACCATCTCTCAATCGACCAGTCATAAAGTTGTCTTGGACTTCTTTTTTCACCGCCAGCTGATGATTCAGAAGTCATGGGAAAAAGATGACGCCCAACACCGCGGTTTGATCTTCTTTTCTTCCCCTCTACATTCATTTTAGCGGGGCGCTTGCGTTGCCCCGCCGTAGAGTATGATTGCTAACTGCCTCGTTTGAGCCTTCTTATCATACGCAAAGGTCGTATCGCAGTTTTCAAGCACCAGTTTATGCCTCAGAGTTGGTGGGTTTGCTCGAATTGTGCATTGGAGCGACTAGTTCATGCAATCATTGTGTTTACTGACAATCTAGACGACCGGCTCCACCCCCGCAGATGTCGTACCTTCTCCAGGTTGTAACACATGGATACAGAAGAAGCCCCACTCTGCCGCGCCAGCTGTCGCCAATCAAGGACCGGACTGCCCTTTATAAACCAGCGCGATCTTGAAAATTTTCCCGAGGTCTTCTTCCCCCTTGACTCGTGCTCACCAAACGACCTTTCACTATGTCGGACGACGAGAAACAAATCGAAGGCAGCAGCGTTGAACACCATGAGACGCAGAATGCTGAAGGAATGACGAATAATGTCAACGCGAGGTCTGTTTTGTTCGTCTACGATAGTGCTTCAAGGCTTATTCCAACTAGGATTCAAAACCCTCTGCATGGCATTCCTCAAGAGAAGCTGCTAGCTCAGGTCGAGGTGCGTTTTATTTCAGGCTTATGTGGAGTTCTACTTACGTGGGTGACCTAAGGCATTCGCTCGCGAACGGGAGATGGAGGATATTCTTCCGTCACTGAAAAAGGGCGCTCTCATCGCGCAGAACCCCTCCGGGTTTGAGAAGATTGCGATGCTTACGGAAGAAGACCGGACCGTCATCCGACGGGAAACAACTCACAAATGGCACCAGACGAAGGCACTGTATTACACTAGTCGGTGCTCTCTCGCGCACTTTCTTCCAACCAAATTTACCATTTCTCAGTCATACTCTGCTCCATCGCTGCCGCTGTCCAGGGTTGGGATCAGACTGGCAGTAACGTCAGTTTTCAATTGAAACAGCATGATCGTACACTGACTTGTATGCATTTCTAGGGCGCAAATTTGAGCTTCCCGGAGGAGTAGGTATCACTGATCGGGCTAGCAGTGAGCTAAACTAGCTATCTTTTAGATTCGGGATTAGTCCTGAGGACCCAGACCCAGTCAAAGCTAGCAGGTTCGTTGTTTCGTGACGTCATACTCGCTCTGACCATGTCAATAGGAATCAATGGATCGTTGGTGTGGTGAACGCAGCACCGTACATTGCTTGCGCTCTTTGCGGTTGCTGGCTTTCAGGTACGTAGCCATGATTCCCATGGAATCTAAGAGGCTCATTCATGTTGCTCAGATCCAATCAACCATTTCTTGGGGCGACGGGGGGCCATTTTCATATCGGCCCTTTTCTGTGAGCCAATATATCCAATCCGAATGCCGACTCATCCCATCCAGGCTTCTTCCCCGTTATTGGTTCTGGATTTACGCGAACTTGGCAGGAGCTATTCGTCACCCGTATCTTAATGGGCATCGGAATGGGTCTTAAAGCGGTGAGTTTCTTGTCGTGTCTTATCTTTACCATCATTTGAACTCTACTTTTAAGGCGACAGTACCAGTGTTTTCTGCGGAAAATACACCAGTGAGCATCTGACCAGCTGCATAACATCGCGTCTCAACTTGTCCTAAAGGCGAATATCCGAGGAGGGCTTGTCATGTCATGGCAAATGTGGACGTGAGTCTGTTCTGTTGCGTCTAGGCACGTTTAAATCATTCTAGGGCGTTCGGCATCTTTCTCGGGTTTGCTGCCAATTTGGTGTTCTTCCAGATGGGTCGACTCGCATGGCGATTTCAACTCGGCTCCGCGTTCGTACCTGTTGTCCCCCTGCTCGTTGGCGTATACTTCTGTCCCGAGTCGCCTCGATGGCTTATGAAGAAGAACCGATACCGTGATGCTTTCAAGTCGCTTTGCCGGCTTCGCAACTCGGAATTGCAGGCGGCGCGGGATCTGTACTACGTCCACCGCCAGCTGGAAGAGGAGTTCAAGGTCATGCAAGGATCCAACTTCTTCACCCGCTTTATCGAGCTGTTCACCATCCCCCGTGTCCGCCGCGCTACTCTGGCTTCGTTTGTTGTCATGATCGCCCAGCAGATGTGTGGTATCAACGCGAGTCTTATCTTATCGATTTGACCTCTCGGAAGCTAATTGATTCCCAGATTATCGCCTTCTATTCCTCTACGATCTTCCAACAGGCCGGCTACAGTCCATTGAGTGCATTGCTGGCATCTTTCGGATTTGGCCTGGTCAACTTTGTTTTCGCAATTCCTGCCGTTTGGGTATGTTTGCATAGCTTGACCATCTGCAAAAGCTAACGGGATGAATAGACTATTGACAGTAAATACCGTTGTGCTTTTTGGAGTTGATATTGATTAGCTCCCAGCTTTTGGCCGGAGAAACCTGCTCCTGTCAACGTTCCCCAATATGGTTTGTCTCGCCGTTATTCCCAGCTGTTTATCTGAAAATGTACTCAGGCGTGGAGTCTGTTGGTTGCCGGTTTCTGCTTCTACATTCCCAAAGAATCACCAGGTAGATATTCGCTTCCTCCTCCGCATCGGTTTGCTTGATCAAGTTAAATAGCCCGGACACCACTTATCGCCCTGTTCATCTACATCTTCGCCTGCTTCTACAGCCCTGGAGAAGGGCCTGTCCCCTTCACAGTCAGTCCGCACGTTCTTACCTGGATCCAAGGCTGACAACAAGCTCTACTAGTACTCTGCAGAGGTCTTCCCATTGACCCACCGTGAGATGGGCATGAGCTGGGCTGTTGCAACATGCCTATTCTGGTCTTCCGTGCTCTCGGTATCATTCCCGCGTCTCCAAGGCGCCACGGGAAGTGTCGGAGCCTTCGCATTCTACGCCGGCTGCAACGTCGTCGCGCTGGTCATGATATTCTTCTTGGTCCCCGAAACCAAGCAACGCACACTGGAGGAGCTCGACTACGTGTTTGGGGTGCCCACAAGAACACACGCGAGCTACCAACTCAACAAGGCGCTGCCTTACTTCGTCAAGCGCTACATCTTGCGCCGAAAAGACGTCACCCTGGAGCCGCTCTACAACTTTGATGAGGTCGAGTCGATCACGGTTTGGGAGAAAGGCGCAGGACACTAAAAGACGGTTTATCTACGCTTTCTGTATGAACTATTCAAGTTATGATTGTAATGAAGTGATTGAAAGTACGATTTAGACTGCCCCGAAAGCGGTACTTACCCTTCAATTGGTTGCACTATTAAAATTATGTTGAACGACTGCTTTGACCTCCTCAAAAAGACGTCGATCACAAGAAGTGTTGTAAAAGCGTCGGATTTGATAGTAGATACTAACGATTGAGTAAACCGTAATACTAATATTTGATCATGAAGCCGCTTTTGGGCCACAATTGCTGAACATTAAAGGAAGGCAAACAGGCATGCTTATCGTTGGCATTAAAAAGTCATGATTACGATGACCTGCTAGCTACAAATGTAAATCACCAACACGAATCTGAAGCACAGCAAGTTCTTTCAAAGCATCTATCGGAGCACAAATTCACTATGCTGCCGCAAGGACAGCACCGCCGTCAAAACGGCCATGGTTCCAATTCACGCGGCCTCCGCGAAGACACATTTCGAGCCAACGATTTCGTGGTCCCCCGATAGAACTATAGCACGCCCGCGCGTACACAGTACCTCGCGTAAGCGCTGTGGCAGACGTATATTCCACATCCTGCAGGCACGTGTCGCTGTTGAGAGCGTCGAAAAACGGTCGTCCGTCCGCTTGATACTGAATGACACAGGTCTTGAATTCACCAATCTCGGTATGGACCATAAAGCGGTTTCCGACTTGGAACAGAAGACATCCATCGTCTTGGACGCAGTAATATGCCTGGGGAAGCACCTGGCCGGGGAAGCCAAAGACGTGTGTCAAAGTCCACGCCCAATCGCAGGGAACACCTTGCCAGTTGCCCCTCTCGTAGTATACCAACTCTTTATCCTGGATGTCCCATTCGGAAATCCAGCTCGGTCCAGATATGCTAATTTCGGCCTTTGACCAGGGGGCGATAGCTGCTTCGAAGGACTCGGTCGGTATCCTGTGTCCATGGATGGGCCCAAATGGCAGGTTCAAATCAATGGCAGACTAAAGATAAGCCACGCGAAACAAGATACGAAGAGAAATACCTGCGGCAAAGTTCGTGGTGCTAACACTGTCTCTATTCGTAGGATGTCGGAAGCCGTGCATTGGCGAAGACCCGCTCCGCAATGGTCATAGATCGCCAATTCGCCAAAACAATTTCCGAATACTGTCACTCCCAAGTCCTCGTCAAAGTCGACGACAGGAACTGCCCAAAGAGCCGGATCAGTGTCCGAGTCAGTTCCCGACGGCCATTTGAATGAGGAATAGTTATCATCCGAAAATGTAGCAGAGACGAAAAAGGGCATGGGAAATTTACAGCTTGGTGAGGATGATGCGGCTGAGATTTACAGGGCTCGGGTTCCCATATGTCCAACGCAGAGATTGTACCAGGGCGTCTTTAGACGAGTCTTCTCTTGACCTGGTGGGACTTGCGCAAGGCAATGAATAGGAGCGGAGGTTGCACTTGGGTCGAACAAACTCTCGAGGTCCACGTCAAAAGCCTCGATTCCTTTGGGAGAAACAAACATAAGACGGAGAGAAGAAGCTGTAGGTCGACAAGCCGAGATTTCCCAGATGACTGGTATTTGAATGGTTTTGATGAAGGACAGCGAGTCTTGGACGGAATATATCTCAATACCGATATGTCGAGCGACGACAAGAATGTTTTCCAACAAGAACATGTTGTGTGGCACGCTCTGTAGTTCCTGTCAGTGATTCCACCTATTTGTCTGGGTGGAAAGCAAACCCTCCGACCATGGACGTCTAATCCACCTGGTGGTTCCGCGAATCCGACCAGCGTCTGCGTTTCCCAGTCAAGCAGATGAGGGATGTTGTCTCCATGATAGACAGCGCAGCCAATGAACTTTCCAGAGAGGAGTAATACGTGCGAAGAGTTGCTTATGCAGGCTAGCTCGCAGAACGAATAATTGTTGGCGGAGGAACTCTGCAGGGTTACAACATGGACCGCAGACATCCTGAAAAGCGGTTAATCCAGAAAGAATATGTTGGAGGGAAAGAGCTTACTCGGGTCCGAGCCCTAACGCAATGACGACTCTTGAAGACTGAACTTCGAGTTGCGCTGTTTGGACTCGACCAGGGAGGAAACCAATGGCGATAGGCCGAATATGACCTGCAAGAACTGAGATGATGTCCCAACAACCGATCCCACTAGCAGAATTGTCGGAGAAAGCGCAAAAGAGCCATCGCCCGGCAACCAGACGCAGCCATGTAATCGAGTGTGGGAGGTAGAGATGAGACACTTTCGCCGGGACCATGTCACCGCTAAGCCATTTATCTTGGACTCGCTGACTTCTCCAAACTAGGGCTTCAAGAGCTTGCGTAGGAAGATCCAGGTATTTCCGCTTGTAATGAGGGAGCAGCGCCTTCTTTTCTACAAGATGTTGCACTCTCCGCACCCAGATGGTGCGCTCCTTGGTTACATCGCACAAGTTGCGGGAGACCTGCCATTATCAGAGGATCTCATGCGTATGAGTAGACCACTGGCATACCCGCCGCAGCGTAAACAGATCATAAACCGCCAACGCAAAGCAGACCTGGAACAACAAATCGGTTGGCAGTTCGTTGAAACGCATGTCACACTCAACCACCCCTTTTCTTTTCGCTCAGTCGCTGGGGAATCAGTCAACGTAAGTTCTGCACTTTCGTGTATGAATTGCCTGCAACGAAACTATCAACCCTCTTGTTACTGAGTACATATCCAAGTTACTTTTTAAGTCGTTTCTGCTCTTGCTCGAGCCTCCAAAACAGTTTGCAGCTTTCGAGCAAGACCGAATGTTAACTGTATTGGGCCATCCGAGGTACACAGTCGATAGGCCGGCATGGCTGGGAATAGGTCTTGAGAGTGGAACAGGAACCATAGGGCTGAACTCACCTTGATATGTTTCGGGTTGGATCTAGCGAATGAGATGACGGGAATTACCACACAATATAGCACACCTTTCCGTCCTCGACCAGCACAGAGGCAATTATGTCGTCGGGATCTCCGATTCTGCCCAATGCAGGAATGTTTCGATCGTCTGTAACGTGAGGACGAGTAGATAAGCAAGTCAGATGGACAAACCATGAATATGCATCCAGCCACTCCCGATTTGCGCCGCGCCGTTAATTTGGATGTCGTCTACTTGCTCGCGGAGACCTGCTTGTATCGCCTCGTGTAAGAGAGAGCGGAACTGGGCTGGGAGGCTCCGGATTATTATTATTACGAATGTAATAGAAGGCAGACACACGATTCTCCTTGAAGTCGTTTAACCCGGCTTCTTGGCCATCAGTGGCTGCAGCGGCCGGGAGCCAGCCAAGCACCGTGCTGCTCGAGGCGGACGAAGGTGCTGTTGGCAAGAAGGAAAGTGCAAATGCGGGAAGTTTGTCGGAGAATGGTGAGGGTGGTTCGACAAGGTGGTAATGCAGTTCAGCACGGGCAGGGTCGACGAGAGATTGGGAGAGCGTTCGTCTTGTCAGAGAAACATGGCTGCGTCCAGCGAAGACTGCCAAACGGAGAGTAGACGATGAAAGTTGAGACCAAGCTCGTTGCATTGATGTGATGGCTTTGCGAGTCATGCTTGACGGCGAGCCTCCCAATTCAACGGTTCAAGCCATCCAGCGTCGAGTGGATCGGATGCACTGTTGTCTTACATCGTACAACTCAATTGAGACCTCCAGTCTTGTCTTGTGAAACATGTCCCGCGGAGGCAATTTCAGTGTATTGTTTCAAAAAATATTTGGTTCCGAGACGTAAAGTTAGTCCGCGTTGGAATTTTTCTTCTGCAACGCAGAGGCAGACTCAAGGGAGGAGTTGTGGAATCTTCTCGCTTGCTTTTTACCATCACACGCGTGGTGTCACAAATCATCACATGTTTGTTGACTTGCTCGCACTTTGACACCAAACCACCACCGACTGTGCTGCTCATGAGCAGTTCCGACGATCCCTACTCTCCGCGATATGGTACAGCGACGTTCACTGGTGCGTAATGTCTATCTAGTCTCTCAAGTTAGATTTTGACCCTGCTCAGACCTGTCGACAATGACGCGACCAGAGTCCCCAGACTCTTACACCGACAGCAACTCGCTCGAAGAGGTCGAAGCAACGCTTAATGAGCTGGATGACGAGCTGGAGGACACCGAAAATGCCGTCTCGACCTGGAATTCGTCGACATCGTACACGGGTTCCCCCTCCTTTGCATCGCTTCCTTCATTTGCTTCGCCACCACCTCAGCCCCAATATACTCGACTCAGTCGCATCACGGAGCATACGGAGGAGTCGACAGTCCAGTCACGGCCATCTTCCACGGCGACACGTCCCCCACCTTCCCCAGAAATCCGTCGCTCTGTGTTTGCTCCTTCTCTGCATTCTCGAGCCTCCACAGATCCAGGATTGCCGCCTCCAGGACGGGCAACAGAGCTGATTGCGGTTTTCGAGTCGTCGCCTGGGCCAAGCAGCCACTCCCGGACAATAACTACCCCAGCAAGGAGCCCGTCGCCGTTTTTCACGCCTGCCCACTCAATTAGCGAGCTCAGCAGTGCGGCCTCCCATGCTCAAGGGTTTTACAGCACGTTTGGCTCACGGCCAGCTTCACCAACGAAGTCGAGTCGCGTGACTTCGCCGCCTGCTGTGCCAACAACGCCTTCGCGGACAAGACCTTCAATGAGCACATTGCTCTCCCAGCCGCCGTTGAGCACATCGGGTCGTACAACACCATCTGGTTCGAGGACAACAGAGCCTTATACCCGACCAGAAACAAGGACCGACACATATTCTGACACTTACACGAACACTCGAACCGACACCCGCACTGACACTTACACCAACACTTACACCGATACTTACACCAATACTCGCACCGACCCTTACACCAACACTGACACTCACACTTACACTCGTACCGACACCTACACCCCAACGAGGACCGATGCTTTTACACCCTCCCACACATATACAACAACCTACTCCCAGTCTGGTTCCAACACTGACACACAATCACGTACTGCAACAACTCCCCCTTCCCTCCGTCGACCGCCACAGGGCAGTCCTCGTTCCCCACTTGCTTCAGTGCGGAATATAGTGGCCTTATGGAAGGAACGGACCCCAGCACGTGCATCCGGAAAGTCGCCCTCGTCTTCGTCTTCGAGCGACAGGACGTCTTCGAAAAGCAGCAACGACCACCCTCTTCCTCCATTGCCTACCGAGCGCGACCAGCCTTCGTCAGAAGATTTGTTCGCGATGCGTCGTTTGGCGGATGATGCTACCAGTCTGCGAAGTGGTCGCTCGCCTAGTTTGCGAAGTGGGAGACGTGGAAGTGCAGCCAGCGGTACCCCTCCCAGCCTAAACGTGGCTGAATTGAATGCATACGCTCAAAGTACAGAGCCGGTGAGTTTACATAAGCACACGTGCTCATGTCATCCGTGACTGATTGGTTACTCTCCCTCCTTTTTAGCCTTTGCACATCGGCCAGCTCTGGTTCCTCAATGTTCATGCTCCGCCACCTTATCGATGGCAACGCTGCCAAGCTCTGCTATACCCGCATCTTCTACTCCTTTCGTGGATTGCACCTGGAGGTGGACGTGGTATAGTTGGGTTGGATCTCCTAAACTGCACCGCAGTGCAAAGCATGCCCAGCCCAAGTCACCCGAGCGCAAGAGATGATGTTGGAACTGTCGCTGCCCGACTTCAAAGTGGTATGTCTTTTTTGCCTCATTTCCGTTGATTTGCCTGACTGGTGCCATAGAAGGAGGTGAACCAGGCGTCGACACACTTGTCGATCTGCTAGTCCCGTTCCAAATGATATACGAAGATGGTGTTGAGCGACTCGCTGCGGAAAGCATGCTCGAGAGGCAGAAATGGGTCGAACGTCTTTGGTGTGTCATTTGCTTGTTACTTGTTTTTTTTTTCTAATTCGTTTTGTAGGGAAGCCGTCCATCGTCCGCCAATTCTGGACGACTCGTCTGCGGGTTCGGATGCCGAAGGAAGTACAAGCGCTCGTAGTGGGGTCGCTCGTTCTGAAAGTATCCGGACTATATTGTCCATTGATAGTGCAAGCAGCCATCGAAGCTCAGCCAGTAATGGCAGTCGAAGCACGGTCTTCGTCCCTCCGATGGCTGACATACCAGACATTTCCTCTGGAGAAAGCAGTACAAGCTCTACTCGTGGATATCGTCGAGCAACGGGAACATTTACACCATCGGAGGCCTACACGAGAACCTATACTCCTATCGGCACGCGGACAGGAACGTACACGCCGACGAGGACGGACACGTACACCTATACCGATGACTACACCCGTTCCTTTACCCCTACTGAAACGAGGACTTATATCTCCGATACCACTCAAACTCGGACGGAATCCACGGGTACCAACATCCGCCGACAGCCTTCTCTTATCTCCTCGCACCATACTGGCACTGTTGACGACAGTGTCATTACTGGAGGGGAATATGTCTATCGTGGCGACCCTCGTGCTATTGCGGGACGAAGAAGGGGACTTGGTGCTCGTCGTGGGTCTATGGGCCAGCTTGACGAGGCATATAATCGCTCAAGCACTGCATCGGGCAGCTCGGACGATGTATTCTTGTCGGCGGACAGTCGGAGTCAGAGGAGCAGCGCAACCAGCACCAGCAGCAATAGCGAAAGTCGGAGCGCGAGTCGGACAACAGGCACAACAGGGAGGAGCACTCTTTACTCCAACTCTGTCGGTCTTCGCACTGGTACCGGCACCAACACCTTTTCGCTCACCAGAAGTCCCTCCCAGTCTGGTGGTACTGGGTCATTCAGTGTCGTGCCGAGTTCGTTGAGCTATCGTGGTCCAGATAGCGCAAGCATGCTTGGCGACTCCCAAAGCGACTATTCGGACTCGTACTCGTACTCGAGCTACAGTTATGGCTCAGGCTCTGTATTGTCAGGTTCGACTGGGTCACCTGTTTCCCGCACTGGAACAGTGTCTTCGCTTGCTCGGGCTCGCGAAATTCGAAGGCGACCCGGACTGGGACTTGTTAGTGGACCACGGTCAAGCTCGTCTGGTTATACCTACAGCTCCCGATCCGATGCATCTTACTCGTATTCATCGTCAGACAAGGAGAACACGACTGAGGAGGAGCCTTCCGACAGCAACGAGAATGCCTCTGGCACGGGAACGGGCACAGGCAGTGGTAGCGGAAGTGGGCAAACACCAGCGACTTATTCGACGAATCAGACTGGCTACGATATTTGCGAGTCGTCGGATCTGACGGATGTGACTCGCTCGTCTGGCTGGACCCCGCCTTATTCATCATCCTCTTCCTCGTCTTCATCGTCGACACCATATGTTCCCACTGTTTCACCACCTTCGTCATCTGGATCAAGCGATCAGTTTATTTCTGCTGATCAAGGAAGCTCATCTGAATCGGAGTACACCACTGCAATACGGCCTCCCTCGTCTCACTCGTCATACGAGTCTTTCCCGACAATCCCGTCCGAATCGGCCTACCAAACTGCTTCCGAACCAAGCGAGTATGGCGAGATCCCTTCTGAAATGGGAACCCCCAAACCACTTCCAAGCATCTTGCCTTCGGAAGACGAGAAAGAGGAAGAGCCAAGTCTACATCGTGTACCCTCGTTGGTACCGACTATCCAGTCGGAAGTCACTGAGGACACAGTCTATCCGCCTTTGCCACCCTCAACCGTTTCAGTTTCGGATTCGGAGTATCCACCACTACCTCCTTCGAGTGTGGCCTCTTCAGAGTATCCGCCATTGCCTCCCTCCTCAGTCGCTTCTTCTGAATATCCGCCATTGCCTTCATCACGAGCTTCAAGCTATCCGCCATTACCTTCGTCAAGGGCATCAAGTTATCCACCATTGCCTTCATCAAGGGCGTCAACTTACCCCTCATTGCCTCCTTCCAGCGTCGCTTCTTCGGACAGCTTGCCGCCTTTACCATCCTCAGTCTCCACTGAATTTCCTCCACTGCCATCTTCAATTATCTCTTCAGAACCCTCTCCTCCATCACCTCCTTCATCGGTGACAACGGATTTACCACCACTGCCGTCCTCTGAATCCAGTCGCGAATCGGATATATCATCGTCGATAACTGAATCGGAGACTTTCGAAATGCCGAGCTCGTTTCATAGCACGGACGACGAATCTTCAGATGTGGCGACTCCAATGTCGCTGGAGTTGTCTTCAGCTTCATCGGATCCACTTTCCGGCCCATCCCCACTCGAGTCGGAAGAGCCACTCAGTCCATTCGAATATCCCTCCTCGTTAACCAAGACTTCCTCCGAGTATTCCTCAATTACTTCGTCATCGCTGTTGACGCCTCTTCAACGTCGTTTGTCGAATTTGCGAAGCGGCTGGTCTTCGTCCGCAGCGTCATCGAGAGCGACTTCGGATAGATCTTACGAATCGTCTATTCTTGCACCTTCGCCTTCCGTCGGTTCAGTTGCACTACCAGACGGGCCAGATGTTTCCGGCGAAACATCTTTCCTTCGACCGACTGCATCATTCTCCTCCTTTGATCGTCTAAGCACGATTCCGAGATCTCCGACTTCAGTTGCTTCGTTGTCTCTGGGACCAGCGACCCCAGTTCAAGCGCCATCGACTATTTTGTCGAGCGTGTCGAGTCCCTCGAGTTTGGGACTACCCACAGGTGCTGGCTCTACCTCGCTGGGACGGTCTTTATCCCTGCTTACGCAGAGTTCAATGCTGTCGGACTCTTCTTTACCTGATTCAGAGACGGAGGAGGATGATTTTGAGGAAGAAATTTTCGACGAAGCGACAACGACGAGTTTGCTGAGCACGCCCAAACCAAGTCGACCTGCGGTAACTTTTTTTTCTCTGCATTTTTGTGGCGTATTGACTTGTCTGCCAGTCTTCTGTTGCGCCTTCAAGTCATACAATGCAGACCCCTGATGCTTCTGGCTCAGTCAGCGTGTCGACACCCCACGGGGATGTGCCATCTGTCCGCTCGTTGTTGGAGACAATCCCGGCCGAAGGCGAGCCAAGCACTCAAGGTGTAACTTTGGAGTACCTGGCTGATGAGATACACCGACTGGCCGACGTAAGAGTCGGAGAGAACGACGAGATTGCTGGGAATGTTCGTGCGTTGCGGAACGAGTTGCGCGACTTGGCCGATTATTTGCACCGGGCGCCTGCTCCTGTTAGCGACATCCCTTCACCCATGTCACCAGCGCCAGTGTCATTGGCACCGGTTTCTCCACCTCCGCTCCCACCACCACCATCAGCCCCGGTTTCGGTCCAAGCTCCCGATGAACCGGTTATCCACTATCTCGATCCTCCCCCTTCCCATCCGCCGTCAGAAGCCGCAAGCAGCCTCCGTCGTTGGCCAAGCAGTGCGACAACAATGTCGTACTTGTCTTCGCATTATTCTGACGATGATTTGCCTTCGCCCTACCCGGACTCGCCATATCCCAGTTTGCCCGCGACAATTCCTGAGGATGACGACGACGAGGTTGTTTCGCGTGCTGCATCGCCGCCTATGGAGATACTACAGCCAATCCCCAAGACACCGACTCCGCAACGTCTGTTCCAGCCGGACTCGCCGCCGTCGTCATCTTCATCCTCTTCGTCAAGTTCGGCGCCGACGGCCCGGCCGCCTCCGGATTTGGGTGATATCCGTGATGCGATCAATCGACTGGCCGACGCTGCTGCTGGCCATGGACGCATGCTGGATGAAGTTCGCGGGTCCTTGCCGCTCCCGCAAGGGCCGGACTATGCTGCATTGATGGAGGACCTGCAAAGCTCGCTAGGCGCGTTGAGGGTGAACCAGACTTCGACAAATCATATGCTGGATCGGTTGGTCGAGAGGCAGGGTGAGCCTGATGCAGCTTTGCACGATCGCATGAGGAGGATCGAGGAGATCTTGCTGGAGTTGATGAGGCGTCCAACTCAAGCACCGCCAGCGTTCACTCTCCCAACCGACTACCAGCCAGATGATAGCGACGGCGGCTCAAGTTCGAGCTCATGGCCTTCAATCATTCCTCGCGAGTATCCTCTGCCGCAACAGCCCGCTCCATCGGCACCACCAGCGGGACGCAGTTTTGCGGAACAGCTCGACGATCTGTTGTCGAGCGACGATGTCAGCCTTGGCCCCTTGCGAGAGGCGGAATACCCCCCGGAGCTCGTGCGCTTCCGGTACGAGGTAGAGAATCGTGGGTTGCGGCCGCGGAGCGAGTTAGACCTGGATAGCGGCAGACCGATTACTGCGCCGCCATCAGATCCGATTCGGCCGGATCTGTTTGCGAATATCAGGAGGAGACACCCTCAGACACAACCAGCAGCGACGGCACCTGAGCCGATAAGACAACCCCAAGATGAAGCTCAGCAGCAACCACAGCCACAGCCACCGCCACCGCCACCGCCGCAAGGACAGGAATATCGAGATCAGCCACCGCTACCGCAACGACGACAACAGCCACCACAACCACCCGAGGAGTCAGAGTTAGAAGATTTAGAAGAGCCAGAATCACCTCAGACAGAGACTGTGATTACTGATGTACCGACGCAGCCAGAGCAACGTCCACAACAGCCATATCGGCAGCCTCCTGGTGAGTAGCGTTTGTCTTTTCTTCTTGAACTGCGGCTAAATATCGTGGTAGTACATACACCTGGGCCACCTGTCGAACGCGTTGTAAGAATTATCATGATTTCCCCTTCATGGTGCTGATGGCTTGTATAGGACTACGGTGGTCATCGTCGATCGCGTTCAGCGCTGGGTAATCTTGGTGGGAATGTTTCGCGAGAACATCAACCGTGGTATCGTGTAAGTATATTGTATCTTCGGGTGGTCTGCTTGGCTAACTTCTATCTTTAGCCTGCTCCAGCCGGCCAGCCACAATCTGGACTGGGACAACAACCCGGATCCCAAGCTCCTCGTCGAGCGCAACCTGTAGGTTTCTTGCAAAGAGTGGTATCAGGTTAACTGACCGAATGTATAGGGTGCACAACCTGCGTTTGGATTCCCCCAGTTGATGGAGATTCTTCGCGTTTGTATCTTGTTGCTTTACTTTGCTGCTGACTGATTTTTTTTTCTCAGGAGAATCGACTTGCCCAGTTGGCCACTGTGGACCAACAACGCGAATTGATGCGTTACATGCGTGGCCTAAATGAGTGGCTCGCACGGGATGTCCATGATCGACAAGCGGAACTGCGAGGTGTTATTGCGCGGGTTGACCAGATTCGGAATGAAATGCGTGGCGCTGCTGCCGCTGCTGCTGCCCCGCCAATCGTTATCGCAGGTCCCCCTGGTATGTGTTTCTTTCGCTTGACATTTGATTATCTATTGATATACTATTCCTTTAGGCCCACCACCAGATGGCAGCAGTGATTCGAGCTCGTCGCATCGTGAGGATGAACCGCCAGTTGTGCCTGGACAAGGGGGCGAGCCGCCTGTTATTCCACCCGCGCCAGGTCAAGGCATACCGTTCATACCTGGCTTTCAACCGTATCCGGCTTTTGTGCCTCCTGGTACCGGCGTCATCCCACCAGTTGTTCCTCCGGCCGATCACCACCAGCCGTTTGTCCCGCCGGATCAGCCGGTCCCGCCGTTTATTCCACCGAATATGCCCCCACCTGGGTTTGGTGCCCCAGGTTTCCCACAGGCTCAACCAGCGGCCCCAGCACAGGGACAGGGACCCATCTTCTTCCGGCCTGGGCCAGCACCAGTTATACCGCTGCATCCATTCCAACCAGCGATGCAAATGCCCATGCCTCAGCCTGTGGCTGATGTGGTCACGCCATTTGTTCCGCAGTTTCCGGATCGTTCACCGATTGACCGGGTTGACTCCACGGTTGTGCCGATCGCGGTCGAACGATCGGAGGGAAGCACAGATAGTGGAGGAAGTCTGGATCAACGCAGGCGTCGACGCCGAGGACGGCGGTCTGAACGAGATGACCGTAGTCGAAGCAGGAGCAGGAGCTCGAGCCCAAGAAGTCGGAGCGGCAGTCGAAGTCGTAGTGGGAGTAGAAGGAGCCGGAGCTCGACGCCAACGCGGATACTAGTTCAACCGCCGACAACGAGTGGGACACCATTGCCTATTGCGCAACCTGTTCAGCCCATTCAGCCTCAACCCATCATCATCAACACTTCGGCACCTCCGGCAACTGGACCGATTCCGTTTACACCGTCGGGCATTTCATATGACCCTCGTGTTTCGCACCCAGCGTCGCAAGCGCCCATCGTCATTCAAACTGGGAGCGGTGGAAGACACCACAGATCGAGATCGAGGTCAAGGTCGCGCTCGAGGTCGCGCTCGTCAGACAGCGGGAGACGAAGGAGCAGTAGGAGGACAAGAACAAGGAGTGGCCGTTCGCGGTCACGTTCACGGTCAAGATCGCGGTCAAGGTCTCCTCCACAACCAATCATCATTGATCGCACGGATACTGGACGGTCACGTCGGTCTCGCCGTTCACGCTCTCGCTCGCACTCGAGGTCAAGGTCAAGGTCGCCTCGCTATCAGACGCCTGTCCAACCGACGATTGTTATTCCGCAACCTGCCGGGAGTGCAATGATGCCGACCATGCAGCCGACCATGATGCCTGGAATGCCTGGTTATCCAGGAACTCAGCCACAGATCATTGTTCGTTCACGGAGCAGCAGTCGAAGTCGAAGTCGCCGTCGTAGAAGCAGAAGCAGAAGTGGAAGCAGAAGTCGCCATCGGACGCCGCCCCCTCAAATTATTGTACCAACAGCACAACAACAACCTCAAACAGTCATGATGCCTCCTCCAGGACAGTTTTCAATGCCTCCTCAATCACAAGTGCCAATTATTATTCCTGGAGGCAGTCGATCTCGGTCACGGACACCACCACAAGCACAGACAGTCATTGTACCCCAGCAACGAACAAGATCACATTCAAGTAGTCGGCACTATCGACATCGCTCTCGGTCGCCTTCGAGAACTCAGCCAGTGGTCATTGCCCCTGGCGCCCCACAGACGACTACTGCTCCACCACTTATAATTCCTTCCGGGGGAAGTCGAAGGAGTCGCAGTCCCAGGAGGCACAGTCGCTCGCGGTCGCCACGAAGAATTTATATGGACCCACGTGATCCTAGATTTGATCCCCGATATCATCATGACCGAGCCTATGACCGATATCGTGATCGGAGATCTCGTTCACACTCCCCACGGACCACGGTCCACAATGTTCTACCACCTGGGATGGCCTATTCGCGTTCTCGCAGGTCGCGCTCAAGATCAAGATCTCCTCGACATCATGATTCCTCTCGTCTGCCGACGATGGTACCCACAATGATGCCCCCCCATTCTTCCTCGCGACATTATTCGCGTCGTTCAAGGTCCAGGTCAAGGTCGCGGTCACGCTCGAGGTCTCGGTCTCCTAGAGGACACAGTCGGTCGCACGCGGGTACTCACCCTGGAACTGCTGGACCACCTGTAATCGTCGTTCCCGGTCCCACTCAACAGGGCACACAAATTCCCATGTCGCATATACCCACTCATGCACCCACAACTACCAGGTATCCTTCACGTTCACGATCTCGTTCGCCACGAAGAATTCCCCGCACTGGGACTCATCACTCTGGAAGGACACGGGGGACCAGGACACACCGGGAGTCACGCTCAAGGTCAAGGTCACGGTCGTTTAGCCGCAGTCCAAGTAGGAGTCGCAGTAGGAGTCGAAGTCCGAGTCCGACGCGAAGACCACGTGACCGTGAGCATGAGCGTGAAGAACATCGACGAAGAGACAGGGAGCGACCCAGCCGCCGATCTGACCGACCCAGAAGTATTTCACCTCTCTCTTATGACCCTCAAGTTTCTCGGCCGGAGAGTCGGGAAAGACGCCGACCAAGCACTCGCCGTCCAAGTCCGCCGCATCGCATCACGGTCCCGAGTCGACCCTCCCCGCCAACTGAAGTTGATTTTGAGCCGATTTCTCCGCGACCGGGACAGGGACCTGGCAAGTCTAACTTGTCTCTTATGATAATTCCGTTCTGATGCATTAACAGCCAGCGTCTACCACCCGACTGGGGCTGGCTCACAATACGACGGGTTTGACCCATCAACACCTGTGCCCATTCCGGTTCCAGGCAGAGGTCCAGCGAGTCAACTGCGGCAACAATCTCCTTCAGTTTTTCGTTTGCCTTCCACGCGATCGCAAGGACAGGCTCCTGAATACCACGATGCTGAGGGTAACCTGCTCCCGACTGCTTATGACGCTGCTGGCAATGTTGTTGTCCCTTCAGGCGGTGTGGTATGTGCTGTTTATTCGTTTTACGATATTTTGATTCTCACTTGAACGACTAGGTATATGACTCGGAAGGCAGACGCCTTGGACCTGTTGGCGTGCCGTCGACGCCATATGACGCACCGGTTTCTATTCCGCCGTCTCAAGTTGGTAGCGTTGCGGCCCCAATTGTGCCTGTTCCAGCTTCTGGTTCGGCGCGTTCAGGGGGTATTGCTCCTGCCCCGCCGACCCGACAGCCCACTATCCGTGACACAGCGGAGGAACCTGCGGGACAAGCCTTCGACACCTCTGGGCCATACGATCCCTCCTTTGAGGCGATACAACCCATCCAACCTATTCCCGGCCCGGGCCGAGCCGCCCCGCGAGCGAGATCACCTTCGCCGGACCGGTACTTCCGCCCGCCTGCGGCAACACCAATCGACCTTGGCCACGCGGAGGCCGAGCGGGAGCGTGACCAGCGACTGCAAGAGGTCGAGGCGAGGCTGCAGGAGGCGCTTGCGAGTGCAGAAGAAGCAGAGGATGGGAGGGAGCGGGAGTTCAGGGACAGCGAGGAGGCGAGGAACAAGATATTCTTCGAAAACGAAGCGAGGAGGGAGCAACAGCTGAGGGACAGAGAGGAGGAGCGGGTGAGATGGGGGGCTAAAGATCTGGGGGCCCCAGCTGATGTCGGTGGCCCACCAGGAGCGACGCCAACTGCCACACCACGACCGGGTTCGATGGCCGGGGCTCCTCGCAGCCGACCTCAAACTGCTTTCAGTTATCGTCCTGGCCCGATGGACGACACTGCTGCGACGGGAGGTGATGGCGCATCAATGCATACCATGGAGCAGGCCGCGAGTGCGGAAGCGGCGTCGATTATGGCCGGAACGATCCGTGATACTGTGGAGGGTGAGCGAGAGCTGTTGCAGAGAGAAATGGCCGAGATGAGAGAGGAAAGGGCCAGACTGGAGGCGGAGAGAGATGCTGCGAGGCAGGCTGTGATGGAGGAGAAAGAGGCGAGAGTGAGGGCTCTAGAGCAGGAATTGGCGACGTTAAAAGGGGAGCTGGAGAACGAGAGACAGTTGAGAAACACCGACACTGCCGAGGCACAAGAGCGCGAACGCGCTGCTTACGCCAATAACGAGGAGATCAGTGCGCAGTTGGGTGATATCACGAACCTTGTCCAGGATCAACGTGGTATATGCGAGGAGCAGAAATCGATGATGCTGGAGCGGTGGAAGGTTGACGATGAACATAGACAGCAGAAAGAGGACAAATGGATCGAGCTGAAGGATATGGTTCATCGACTTTACGACGGGATGGAGGAGGATCGTGCGAGGACGGAAGAATGGCGAGCGGCCGAGGCAGCGAAGCCTAACTTGGAGAAAATCATTGAGGAGTTGAAGCAGCAAAATGCAGAGCAGAGGGAGCTGTTGACTGCGCTTTCCGAGAGTGAGTCGCTTGTGTTTTATGATTGATGATGCTGATTCATTCTTCAGATTGGAGAGCAGACAGTATAGCACAACACGAAGCGACACTCGAAGCTGTGCGGTCCACTGCGCGAGAACAAGTCGATTTCAATGTCCAAGGGGTAAGTGAAAGTGCGACCTTGACTACTGAGCTAATAATGTTTGTAGTACCTCGACGAGTTCAGCAAAGCTCTTGCTTCTGAAGTCCGCATGCTTCTTGGTGAAGTCGGAAAACTGCGCGAAGAGCGACGAGCGCTGCAGCACGAATTGGGCTATCTCCTTACGATGAAGTCCAAATACGGGCCTGGCGGGGAGTTCGAGCCTGACTGGAAACCACCTGCTGCTGGAGATGCTGGGCCGCAACCACCGCAACCGCCTCCACCACCGCCTGATTTGCCGCAAGCACGGCCGGGTTGGCGAACGGTCACGCAGCGAGGACCGCCTCCACCGAGAAAACCGAAAAAGAAAGACGGAGCACCCGCGCCACAACCGCCCCCAGCAGCAGCGGGAGGAGGGCCGCCGCCAACGACCCACGGAATGGATCCGCGAAGTCAAGTGCGGTCATGGGCAACCTGGCAACGTGAGTGACACGAGCTTTTTTCTTTCTTCGAACTGACATTGGTTTAGCTGACCCGGGTATGGCACCGACCCCGCCTTCTCGCGAACCGACTTTGCTTGCGCCAGAGCAGCCACCCCAGGGACTGTTTGGACCCAGGACGCCAAGGAGCTCTGTTTACGCACCTTAGACGGACTAATGAAAAATACCATCTCCCACGCAATCTACGACGACGAAGTAATGCTAACTTATCGTTTTTCTGTGTTCTTGTATGCCTTGCGCCATTTCTTTGTACTATCATTGCCATCATCTACTATACTATTACTACGACATGTTACGTTGAATTTGACGATTTTCTGTGCTCTGGTGCCCTGTTTCTGTTCATTTGCAGTCTAATTATGTTTGGCTTGAAAAAACAAGGTTGCCATCTGGCAGCACATATAAAATATATAAAATATTCCCTTTTTTGGTTCACATGACAGTTTTCAGAGTCATCAGCTGGATTATCAGGGAAGGTTCGGCCTCTGCTGCTTGTGGCCTTGTCCCCTCTCATCAACATACCCTTATAAATCATATCAACAAGTCTGCTATTGCACCTCTGAGGGGAGTACTGTAATATTCCCGGGGCCCAGGTAAAAACAAAGTTTGAAAGAAAACAAATGAGTATCAGCACGTTTCTTTGTACTACATATCAATGCCATCATCTACTTTTACTACTATCATGACTACGCCATGTTATGTTGAATCTGACGATTTTCTGCCTTGCTTCTGTTCATTTGAAGTCTAATTGTCCAACCTAATGTTTGGCTTGAAAAAATAAGGTGCCATCAGCACTTGAGTGTAGAAATATTCCCTTTTTGGTTGCATCACATAATACTGACCAACCTCAGTTTTAACTATATCAGACTCATTGGTTCAGCCTCTGTTGCTTTTGGCCTTATCCTCTCTCAATGGCTCTCATCAAGGTAAGTACCCATTGGACTTCTGAAGTTCTGAGGGGAGGCATGGAACAACAAAGTTTGAAAGAAAAGGCAAGTAGTAGGAGCCCAATGATCATTCAAGGAGGTCAATTTATAGAGGACTAAAGCAACTAGACAGTGCCTATGTGCGCACTTCGACAACCCGGCCCATCAAGTGCGTGAAACACGCCCGGAAGGCTGCCTCCATCTCACTGAGGTCAACCAGTGTGTTGTTGTCGTCACAGCCCATCACGCGGTGGACTAGGCAGAGAAGTACGCGCACGTAGGAAAGCCCCCCGACCGGGCCGGGAACGCTCCGGGCCAGCGTAAGGACCTGTGCAAGCGTCAGCGCAACGTCGACAGTGGCGAGCCGCGCCGCGCCAGGCTTGATGACGTAGACATCGGTGTCGAGGCGGCTGCGGGAAACAAGCACGTGCTCAGGCGCGAGCCCTTGCGCGTCAGGCCGCCCCTCCATCCCCTCGATGATCATGAAACTTGTCACGCCGTCTGCATCGACGTCGCGGAATCGGACGACCAGGAACTCGCTACCGCCCGGGCCGGCGGCAAAGTGCTCGATGCGGGACACATGCAGGCTGCTGCAGGCATCCCCAACGGCAATCATCATCTCGAGCAGCTGGCCAGCATCGTTCGCGCTTGCTGGACCGAGTAGCCGGCCGTGTCGGTCTGTAGGCGGGGGGAAGAGGAACAAGTCCATAACCGGGCTAAGCGTTGAGCGCGGCACTCGGAGAGGGGCCTGAATGTAGCACAGGGTGTTCCAGCCGTGTCGCACCCGTGCATACAGGTCCCGTAGGGCGTAGAAGAAATGCACAAGCTTGGAAAGCATTCGTCAAGCTTCAAGACCGTGACATCTCCTATGTTTTTGGCCTGTTTAGCCGTGATTCAAAAATTGTACAAGACCTTACTTACCGCGGCGAAAAGGAATGGAACCAGTTGATCACACACTGTGAATGACGTCAATACAAGTCCATCGAATCTTACCTCGGGGGCTCGACGCAGTATTCACGCCTCGGGCTGCAGAAAGGTCAGTGCAACGCGAAATTCAAAAACAAAGCAACTTACCAAAGGGCCATCCCACAGAAAGTCGCAGTCGAAACAATTTATCAACTTCACGTACTTTGTATCCGCCGATCGATCGAGCGGACGGCGCGTCCTTCGCGCGTGCCAGCGACGACCCCCAGACTATAACCCCCAGACTATAACCCTTCCATAATGGCTCTACGACCCCGACACATGGCCGTCTCGGAGCTAGGAAACAGTGGGGAGAGAAATGGCCGCGGGTATTAAAGCGGTGAGTCCGGCTTAGCCCGCCCGATTCAAATGTTTTCCAGGCACTTGGCCGCGCCGACCTCACCCTCTCCTGCGTAAACGGCAGCGTTTAACCACCACCTCCCCTCATCTGGCAACGCACCAACTACTGGGTGCTCAAACTTGTGGCTATCTCGCTCGGCCAACTCCGCTCCCGCAAGACCCCACGTCCCAGACACCTAACCCACCGAATCAACTCTGCGAAGCCATCTTGGTCAGCAAACTGGGCGACAATGGGCAGATAGCTTACAAGGGGACGGGGGGAGGCACTGGGCAGGTCAGCGCAGCGCTGGGAACAACTGACTTGTTCCTCGATGTTGAAGGCGACGGGCAGCGATTTGGTGTCGGTGGAGGGAGCAGGCAACAAATTGAGCTCGGGTGGAGTGGTTGAGGCCTGGAACGAGGTTAATGGTCCAAATGACGTTTTACGCAAAACTGACTATTTCTACAGCGAATGCAGAAGGAATCTCAGTCTGCGCAATGCCCAAACTGAGAGAAGGTAAGCATGTCAGGGAGAGTCGGCCCGGTAACAAGCAAGAGTTAGCGGCGGCAAGCTCAATCAACAACAGCAACTCACCTTGAATGTATCGCGAGCGACGGGCTTATCTTTACCGTCTTCGTCGCTAATAACAACCGCTTCCTTGCAGTCATAAACGAGGGACGACAGATCAAGATTCCAATGTCGATGGCTGGCGTACAGTGGCGTAAGCGACTAAGCTTCTCATGGCAAGCACTTATAAGACGGTGACTTCTCTCTCTCACACACGACTCTTTTGCCTCCCGCCGTCTGGCATCTCGCTATTTCTGCTGTAGAATCCCCGCTCTCGAATCATGAATCTGGGCTCTCCGCCAATTATGAACATCTCTGGTACGCAATCAAAACTCATCAAAACTGTCATGGTATGAAGGTCCGCAGGGGGTGCCGGTGGGCCGGGGGGCTCTGGTGGCGGCGCCGGAGGGACCGGACAGGGCCCACAGATTACTGTAACCGGAGATTACCCCCAGTGTGCAGCTATCTGGTTTGGGGATCCAGATCAACTGACTGGTTATAGAATCTATAGCATGCCAACAGATGGTAGGCTCACTGCAACATTTGGTCTTGGATCTGAAGTGCAAATACAACAGCTGACGAGCACACAAGGCTGATGAACTGGATCTCCCCAATCAATTTTTTTCTGGTACATGATACTATTTGTGAAACACGACAGGAGAATACAGGTGACTGGCTTCTTGAGCATCCTGCTTTCTCAGAATGGAAGGAGACCTGGGGACATATACTCTGGTGCACTGGGATCCGTAAGCTCAACCAATATATTAACTATGATTTCAACAACTAATCTGAACTAGCTGGTATGGGGAAGACTGTGCTGGTGTAAGATTTGACCTGGCCTTGAAATTGAAAAGCTTGTTCTGATTTTAGACTTAGTTCAAAAGTAGTGGACCATCTTCTTGAGGCTAATCAAACAGACTCAAGAATTGGAGTAGCTGTTATGTATCTCAATTATAAGGAAACTGGGATCCAGACAGTCAAGAACTTGCTTGGTGCAGTATATAGACAGCTGATCATAGGAAAGGATACTGCAGCAGCCAAAAAACTCTTTGCTCTGCATAAGGAGAAGGAGACCAGTATAAGCTTGTATGAAATTGAACATTTGATTCTATCTTTAGTCACAGATCTCAAGACTGTGTACATTGTTATAGATGCTCTTGATGAGTATATGGGTGGAGAATATCTGGGACTTATCAAGCATCTTACCAAGCTTGGAGAGAATATAAATATCATGGTTATGTGTCGTCCCAACATTCATCCTCCCCTCCAGCTGCCAGTCATTGCTCTAAGTATCAGAGCAAATGATCAGGATATGGAATTGTATATCTCAACACAAATTGAACAGCATCATACCCTTATGGATTTTATATTTGAAGATTATAACTTGAGGTATCAAATCATCAACAAGTTAATCCTCAAAGCAAAAGGAATGTGAGTATTGCCAAATGATACTTTGATATAATAATCATATAATCTTAAGGTTTTTAATGGTCAAGCTGCAGCTAAAGCTACTTAGTAGAGTTCTCACAGTTGAGGCACTGGAGCAAGCTTTGAATGACTTACCTGAAACATTAGATTTGGGCTATGAGAGGACATTAGAATATATTGAATCACAGCCTGAGGATCACAGACAACTAGCACTCTTAGCACTAGGATGGGTCTCACATGCCAAGCGACCACTGACAGCAATAGAGTTGCAAACAGCTCTGGCTATGAGATTAGATATAGAGCAGCTTCCTAATAATAAGCAGCTGGTCAAGATTAAGCATATTATCAGAATATGCTGTGGGCTCCTAGTCAGGGGCAAGAGCTCAAATATTATACAACTTGTTCACTATACTGCTCAAGCATTCTTTGAAAGTCTCAGATCAACACAGTTTTCCCAAACAGAAGCAATGATTGTGAAAACTTTGATCAAATATATTTATTTTGTACCACCCACAAGTAATGTGGTGGCTAGGAAATCTTACCATTTATTGTCCTATGCACAACACATTCTGGGTCATGCAATAGATATCACAGAAGAGCAGTTACACATGGCAATAATTGCATGTCTTCAGTATATAATCAAGTGTAACTTCTTCAAGTATGACTGGGGAAAACCCTGGAGTGAGCTTAAAATGCTTCACCCAGCTTTATTGACACCAATGTGCATTGCTGTAGCTGGAAATTTAGAGAAACTCATTGAATTTATGTTAGACAGACAAATCTATGATTATGGAGCAGCTATAATATTTGCAACTAGATACTGTCATTTTACAATTCTTAAAATGCTACTGCATAGAGACATAGGGCATGCTATAGATATTATTGATGAGACCTATGATACAGCATTATATATTGCTGCACGTAGTGGCAGAACAAAATTTATTAAACTTTTGCTTAGCTCAAATGCACATACAAACTTAATTGCTGGGTTTTATGGAACAGCTCTCCAGGTTGCTGTAGTGTATGGAAGCACAGAGATTGTTGAACATCTGCTTAGCTCAGGTGCTCAAGTAGATTTGATTGCAGGCTTATATGGAACATCTCTTCAAGCTGCTGCAGCTCTTGGGAGAGTAGAAATTACTAAGCTTCTGCTTAACTCAGGTGCACAGATAAATTTGATTGCTGGTTGCTATGGAACAGCTCTGCAAGCTGCTGTAGCTCTTGGGAGAACAGAAGTGATCCAGCTTTTGTTAAACTCAGGTGCACAGATAAATTTAATTGCTGATGATCATGGAACAGTTCTCCACACTGCTATTGTTTATGAAAATACCGAAATTATTCCACTATTGCTTAGTTTAGGTGCTCAGATAGATTTAACTTCAGACTATGGAACAGCTCTCCATACTGCTGCTGCACATGGGAATACTGAAGTTGTTCAATTTCTACTCAACTCAGGGGCAGAGATAGATTTGATTACTAGCAGGCATGGGTCTGCTCTCCAAGCTGCAGCAGGAAATGGAAGAATAGAAGTGGTTCAGCTTCTTCTGACCTTGGGTGCTGATATTAATTTAATTGCTGGCTTTTATGGAACTGCTCTCCAAGCAGCTGCACAGGCTCCAAGGAAAAGTAGAGAGATAGTTTATCTTCTTCTTTCTTCTGGTGCTCAAGTAGATTTGATTGCTGGTTTTTATGGGACTGCTCTCCAGGCTGCAGCATGGAATAAAGGGATAGAAGCTGTCCAGTTATTGCTCAGTTCAGGTGCTGAAGTAAATTTAGTTACTGGTTTTTATGGAACAGCTCTCCAGGCTGCTATATGGAGTGAAAACATGATAATTATCCAGCTTCTGCTTATTGCAGGTGCTGATATCAATTCAGTAGCTGGTGCTGATGGATCAGCTCTCCATGCTGCTGCAGTGATTGGAAACCAAGAGATTCTTTTGTTACTACTCAAATCAGGTGCTCAAATCAACTTAGTTGCTAATAACAATATAACACCTCTTCAAGCTGCAGCATGGAATGGAAAAATAGAAACTGTCCAACTTCTGCTTAGTATGGGTGCACAGATTGATTTAGTTGCTGGTATTTATGGAACAGCTCTTCAAGCTGCTACCTGGAGTGAAAACATAGAAATAGTACAACTTCTCCTTAACTCAGGTGCTCAGATAGATTTAATTAGTGGCTTGTATGGAACTGCTCTTCAGGCAGCTGTATGGACTGGGAGTACAGAAATCATTGAGCTTCTACTTAGTGCAGGTGCTTCTGTCAATTTAGTTGCTGGAAAGTATAGAACTGCCCTTTCTGCTGCCTTGTTGACTGAAAAGGCAAGTTCTACCAATATTTCCATATTGCTTAGGGCTGGTGCACAAAGAATATATCCAATTATATATACTACAATCACACAAAACACTGTTTGGTCTCTTCTCTTACAACCTAAATATGGAAACCACATCCTGACCCCTGAAAAACCATTCATCACAACTTTGAGCAATCTGGCATATGCACAAGTAGTTTTGGTTGATGATTATAGTAATAGTGAGATT